TTAAAATCACTTATTCAACTGTACACAACATGAGCAGCTACACATCTGTGTTGTGTCTGTCTGCACAATCCAGTGTACAATGACCCTTCCTTTCAGTCATTCTTCTTCATTTAGAGTTGATGTTCATTAATACGTTTTTTCATTTGTTGGTATATTTGTTGGTTCAAAACATTAATTTGATATTCTTTTCATTGTTTCGGTCTTGGTTCATTCATTCATTCATTCATGGACAGTAGTTTGTTCATGTTTGCTTTTTATTGTTTGTTTTTTATTTGGGTCTTCTTAGTTCTTTCATTCATTCATTCATTGTTTGGTCATTATTATGTTCTTGTTTTCTTTTTATATTTTGTTCTTTTGTTTGGGTCTTAGTTCTTTCATTCATTCATTGTTTGGTCATTAGTTTGTTGTTGTTTTCTTTTTATAGTTTTTTCGAGTCTTAGTTCGTTCGTTCGTTCGTTCATTCATTCGTCCATTCGTTCATTCATTCGTCCATTCATTCATTCATTCGTTCATTCATTCGTCCGTTCATTCATTCATTCGTCCGTTCATTCATTCATTCGTCCATTCGTTCATTCATTCATTCATTCGTCCGTTCATTCATTCATTCGTCCATTCATTCATTCGTCCATTCATTCATTCATTCGTCCATTCATTCATTCATTCGTCCGTTCATTCATTCATTCGTCCGTTCATTCATTCATTCGTCCGTTCATTCATTCATTCGTCCATTCATTCACTCATTCGTCCATTCATTCATTCATTCGTCCATTCATTCACTCATTCGTCCATTCATTCATTCATTCGTCCATTCATTCATTCATTCGTCCATTCATTCATTCATTGGTCCATTCATTCACTGATTCGTCCATTCATTCATTCATTCATTCATTCATTCATTCGTCCATTCATTCATTCATTCATTCATTCATTCATTCGTCCATTCATTCATTCATTCATTCATTCGTCCATTCATTCATTCGTCCATTCATTCATTGTTTGTTCATGTTTTCTTTTTATAATTTGTTCTTTTGTTTTGGGTCTTAGTTCGTTCATTCATCCATTGTTTGATCATTAGTTTGTTCTTGTTTTCTTTTTATAGTTTGTTCAGGTCTTAGTTCATTCATTCATTCATTCATTCATTTTTTGGTCATTAGTTTGTTTTTTGCAATGATGCTTTTTCTTTAATTATATTATTCAAATTTATGTCTGTTTTTTCTTTCATTAATTTGACGTTTGTTCATTCATTCATACATTCATTTCATTTTCGTTCATTAGTTTGTTGTCAGTGTCATTTTCTTTGATTTATTAGTTTGTTTGTTTGTTGAGGTCTTTGGTTTGTTCAGTTGTTTGTTTTTTGTCTTTGGTTGTTGAATCATTTGTTTGTTCAAACATTATTGTTTATTCATTGTCATTCAATCATTTCTTGTTTATTTTTTGGTCCTTCAGTTTTTTTCCCCCCATTCATTTATTTGTTTAATTTGTTTGTGTATTATGTATTTTCTTTAATTAGTCCATTTATTTTATTACTTTGTTCTTTCATTTGTTCTTTTGTTTGTTTTTCATTTGTTAGTTTGGTAGTTTGTTTGTTTATTTGACAGGTTTTCTTCAACCCTTCATTTTGCTTTTCACAAAGCACACACACACACACACACATACACACACACACGCACACACCACACACACACACATTAGTGTTCACATTACATAAGCCAAATAAATACCATTTTAACAGAATTAAGTGACTGTAATTTTTGAGCATAGAGGGAGGCTGAATAAAAGAGAGGTAGAAAGAGTAAGAGAAAATAAAAGAAAGAAAGGCTAAGCAGATTTGAGTGGAAGGGAGAGGCTGGCAGTCTCTAACCACTGTGGTCTCCAAATCATAAATTTGAGAGCAAGGGAGTGCGGTTGAGAAAAAAAAAGGAGTGGGTCGAAAAAAAGAGCAACAGAAGGGGGAGTGATTGGAAGCGTGAGGAGTGGAACGGCACAACTCGTTTGCACTGGCACTCGTGTGGGAATTTTTGACCCTCTCCCTCTTTCCGTGACTCTCCTCGACTCGGCCAGGCGTAATTATTCCTCTCCTTTTTAACCTTGAGAGGTCTGTTCTAAAATGAGACGAGAGGGGGGGGGATGAAAACGGCAATCAAGATGGACAAGCCGAGAGTGAGAGGCTAGAACGAGGGATGAAAACAACAGGCTCTTCTGTCCGTCTCTGAACGCTTTCCTTCCTGACCGAAGAAGAGCAGATATCTCCGCTTACCCACATATGGGGGAGTGAGCGAGCGACAGACAGGCAGCGAGAGGAGGGATACCCCCAGGACACAATCACAGGAGAACGCTTTTTCTCTGCCGCCTCCCTCCATTTTTATTTCTCCCCTGTTTTTTGGGCTGCTCTTCATGGGAGGAATGTGGAGGCAGCATTTTCCAGGCAAGACGCATGTTTCTGAAATTGGCCAAAATCAAAAGTGTGTGTTGTGTGGTGTGTGTGTGTGTGTGTGTGTGTGTGCGCGCGTATGCACGGTACTTGCTTTTTGATGGTGTCACAAGCGCATGTCTTGGCTGCTGTCTGTGACACATCTGCAAACTAGTTCGGCATGTGTGTGCACAGTGCATTGTGTTCCCGACTCCTTATCGTTAGTGAGTGTGTGTGTGCGTTTGCCAACCAAATCCCTGGCTAATAGATCAGGAGGGGTGGAGAGAAGAAAAAGTGACGCAGCACAGATACACTCTTATTAGACACTCATGCACCTGGTTTATTTCAGGACCTGGACGGTCATTCAGTGATCTGACCATTTTAACTCCTTTCCTGCAAGTGTCTATTAGCTTTGAGGCAAAAAGTGTTTTTTTGTGTGTGTGTGTGTTTGTGTGACGGTGAGAGATGAGGTTGCTTGGTAACCATAAGCAGCAGTTGACAGTGAGGTGAGGCACTTGGCTGCCAGGTTTTTTTTTAAATCCAAGATTGCTTGTAACACACACACACGTACACGTACACGTACACACTTATTAAAATCACAGCGGCACACCTAAGCAAGAAGTGTGGAAACTCACACATACGGTGTGATATACACACTGCCATATTTAACACACACACACACACACACAAGCGCACAGATCCACGTCAACGCAACTCCATGGAAAAATCTCCTCATTTCCTTTTGTTTTTACAGACTTTTATTGTTCATGGGATTTCAAAGAGAGTATTACATTTCTCTCTCTCTCTCGCTCGCTCTCTCGCTCATATTAGTTTCACATACATTAAAGTAATAGTTCACCCAAAACTAGAAATGTCATTATTTATTCACCTTCGCAACGTTACTTTGATTTTATTTAATTTCTTCTGTTGAACATAAATGGAGATGTTTGGTAAAATGTTCACCATCATATACTTTTCCAAAAAGGTCTGCACTAATTGTAAATATTCACATTTATTACGATGGCTTCGTGTGATAATCACGTGTGAATGAACGTGATTATCTTTGGTTCCCTTCCTCTGTAGATCTCAAATGAATTTTATACTTTCCGCATCAATGATTGGTCACATGACATGCAAGAACCAAAAAATATAGTACTTAGTATTTCTGTCTTGTTTTCCAATACAAATATTTGAACATTCTTGAATCTAGAAACGGTTACGTGAGAAGCAAAAGTCTTGTTTCCTGAAACATTTTAATTAAGCGAGTTAAAACAAGAAATATGCTGGTGAGGTAATAAAAATAAACTAATTTCAAAGGGAGAACTGGATTATTTTTCTCATCCCATGGGCAGATATATTATAATTATATATAAAATGTTTAGATATTTGTAATGGAAAACAAGACGAAAAATACAGAGTAAGAAAATCATTCTTTGCACTGTTGATATTACGATGCGCCATATTTGAAAGTATGTGATCGCAAATTCAAGATTCAAACGCTTTCTTCAAAAGCGGAAGAAAATAATATATTTTAAATGACTTATGAACCACATGAACTACATTTTATGATGCTCTTGTTTGTCATATTTGCAGCTTGATGGTCACCATATGTTTACATTGGATGAAAAAACAATGTTAAAATTCTTAGAAATATTACTGTGTTTCAAGGAAGAGAGAAAGTCATATTGGTTTTGAAACAACATGAGGGATATGCAAAAGATTTTCATTTTTTTTAGGTGAATGATCCCTGCTCGGAGAAAACTTCAAAGACTGAGAGAAATTGTGATGGCAAGTCAAATAAAAAGCCTCACATCTCTGAAATCGATGTTTTGTCGGGATCTTTTGTGCACTATGATCATCAGAGTAAATGTGGAGAATGGCTGAAGGGTAGGGCTGAGATTTTCCCCAGCTGCTCTCTGATTGGATAATTCCCCATTCTGGCCTCTGATTGGATAATGGCCGTGTACTGCTGTACTGCTCGGACTCTGTTTGTTTAAAAATCACCGAGTTTAAGTTTGCCTTCACTGTTCATGTCCAAAAAAGCTTTTAGAGCAGGCTGTCTGAGCTCTGAAATTGTTTATGGGTTGGAAAATGAACAGTCGGCACGGTTTCGTGAACATTGATTGGTCGAGCACCTACATGAAGGGGATTGTGTGTGTGTGTGTGTGTGTGTGTGTGAGAGAGCCCCATCAGTCTGTCCTTCCCCCTCTGGTTTCTCCCGCTCTGATGTAGTGATGGCTCCACCATGTCATTTGTGTTTCTGTTTGATGTGTCCACTGCTCATTTAAAGCGTGCCAAACCCCTGATCTCCCGCATCCACTCCGTTTCCCTCGGAGAGACCCAACGCTGCCTTAATATCTCCCACACAATTATTTTTTAATAATACCGTGGTAAATAATTCTCATTTGAAGTCCTTTTTAAATGGATGGTGGAGAGTGAAAAGAGAGAAACAAGAGAACAAGATGTTTCCCCCAAAGGCTATTAAATAAAATGTATTCATAACTCTGCCCAAATGCTGCAATCTCCATGACAACAAGACACATGGCGGGAGGGTGATTGGGAAGTTGACGTTCCTCTCTGTGTTTGGCAGGTATAAGGCCTCAGATCATGAACGGCCCGATGCACCCTCGGCCGCTGGTCGCTCTGCTGGACGGGAGGGACTGTACCGTAGAGATGCCCATCCTGAAGGATTTGGCCACGGTGGCGTTCTGTGATGCGCAGTCAACGCAGGAGATCCATGAGAAGGTCTGTTTGCCCTATTTCCTTTCAACCTTCCTTTCTTCCTTTCTTCCTTCCCTATTTTTTTTTCCTTCCTTCCCTCCTTTTAACCTTCCTTCCTTCCCTCCTTTTAACCTTCCTTCCTTCCCTATTTTTCCTTCTTTCCTTCCCTCCTTTCAACCAACCTTCCTTCCCTCCCTCTTTTTAACCTTCCATTCTTCTTTCCCTATTTTCCTTCCTTCCTTTCATCCTTCCTTTCATCCTTCCTTCCTTCCTTCCTTCCCTATTTTTCCTACCTTCCTTCCCTCCTTTTAACCTTCCTTCCTTCCCTATTTTTCCTACCTTCCTTCCCTCCTTTTAACCTTCCTTCCTTCCCTATTTTTCCTTCCTTCCCTCCTTTTAGCCTTCCTTCCTTCCCTATTTTTCCTTTTTCCTTCCCTCCTTTCAACCAACCTTCCTTTCCTCCCTCTTTTTAACCTTCCGTTCTTCTTTCCCTATTTTCCTTCCTTCCTTCCCTCCATTTAACCTTCCATTCTTTCTTCCCTATTTTCCTTCCTTCCTTCTTTCCCTCCCTCCTTTTAACCTTCCGTTCTTTCTTCCCTATTTTCCTTCCTTCCTTCCTTCCTTTCAACCTTCCTCCTTTCCTTCCTTCCCATTTTTTTCTTTCCATCGTTCCTTCATTCCAACCTTCCTTCTTCCCTTCCCTTCCTTTCCTCTTTTTCCTTCTTCCCTCCCTTCCCTATTTTTCCTTCCTTCCATCCCTCCTTTCAACCTTCCTTCCTTCCTTCCCTCCGAACTTCCGAGGAACCAAATCATTTTAACCAAACAGATTTTGCTGCTTTTATGTACCCAAAATATTCATCTTGTTGAAAATAATGAAGGCTTTTTTTGTTTGTTTTTCACATTTAATTTTTTTTTTTATATTTAATAATTGTCCTTTAATAACAATAAATATCAATTTTATATTTCATTTAACTTAAAAATTGTATATGTAAAATGAATAATTATGAGTGATGACACAAGCTACTTGTTTTGAATTGGTTCACTGAAAAAAATGTTTGCTGCTGATGTTTAAATCAGACAATAAATAAATACATAACAAATATACAGTATAACATGTTTTATTGCATTGTTTTCACTGACTGCATGTCAGTTGTTTTCACAAACTCCTATGATTCACTTTATTTTAATGAATTGATAGAAGACCCACAAATGCACAAGCTATTAAATCAGTTTGAATCAGTCAACAAATTACTTAGTGAATCTGTTACTGACTGACTCACTCACTGACTGGATGTGACAATGTGCTGTCAAAGATTTTGTTGTAATAAATTGTATGCTTGTTTTTTATAAAAAAAGAACATTCAAATATTTTCATAAAAAAGATTTGTTTAGTATGTACAATATGCATGCATAGTAAACAAAAGCAGAATTCTGCCGGAAACACTAGTTCATTTAAAAACACACAGGCTGTGATTCATTTTATAGTGACCCAATTATCAGACCCAGTTACGAAGGTGTAGAATTTCATTGCATTGAATTGAATTACCCTGTTAAGTTTAATATTATGTTTTATAGGGGCAGTCGTGGCCTAACGGTTAGAGTCAGACTGGTAACCCGAAGGTCACAGGTTCGATTCTCAATACCGACAGGAAATGACAGAGGTGCCCTTGAGCAAGGCATCTAACCCCAAATCACTCCCCGGGCGCCACAGCAAAATGGCTGCCCACTGCTCCGGGTGTGTGTGTCCATGGCTTGCAGTGTGTGTGTGTGTGTGTGTGTTCACTACTCACTGCTCCTAATGTGTGTATGCACTAACTTGGATCGGTTAAATGCAGAGGACAAATTCAAAGTATTGGTTACCATACCTGGCCGTCACGTCACTTCAATTTTTGCTATTTGATTCAGAATATGGTTTTGTAAAGAGTAAAAAACAAATAATTATCAAACTGGGAGGAAATGCATTAAATGACATGTACACGAACATGGCAAACTCATCATGAGAAATGCATTACACCCACATACTCCTCCCAGGCCCAGGATGCTACAAAGAAATGATTTATGTGTGCTTAATAAACATCCCCCAGTTTTGTGCCCTGATGTTTATAGTGTGGTGTAAATGTGTCTCTGGCAGGTGTTGAACGAGGCGGTGGGGGCGATGATGTACCACACCATTACTCTGACCAGAGAAGATCTGGAGAAATTTAAAGCCCTCCGAATCATAATCCGCATCGGTAGTGGATATGACAATATCGACATTAAAGCGGCTGGAGAGATGGGTAAGAGCATTGGGCGACAAATGCTAAGACATGTTTCCTGCTCACGACTTTTGGTCTTAATAGACATTGGTAGAATAAGAAGTTGATACCTGACATACAAATGTAGATTTGCCCCATTATTATTATTTTATCTAGATAATGAGAATAATAAGAATAAAAACGTTATCTAAAAATCACATGGACTATGTGACAACACTGTCTTTGTGTTGCTTTCAACAGCTTTCTGGACAATAATATACACCTGAAAAATGAGCAGTGGGAAACTTAAAACATTGATAATATTGTGAAAAGCTGGAGCAAATGAAATGTAGAATGCATAAAGATGTTGAGTTTATATAGTGTGATACTTGGCATCACAGAGAACACACGTCTGACATCGAATACTGCTCAGCTGAGAATCTAGGTTCAATCTTTGTTCAGAAAAACAAAGTTCTCTCCATGTAGTGAGGAAAAGTTGGATGAAGTCTTTCAGAGACAGAAGAAGGTATAGAAGGACTAATTGTTCCTCTGGGACAGACAGTTTATATGGTTAGAGTTAAAGAAAGAAGGTGTTCTGGCTGGATAATGATCTCCATTTCTCCTTTTAATGATGGCTGGAGAAACTTACAGGTCAAATCCATGAACGGATAGAAGACAGGATCAGGGTTAAATTGACTATCAGTATGAATGGACCATCTGAGGCATTGTCTTGTTTATTGAATGTTCAGATATGTAAATATCAACCTTTCTATGAATCAGACTGAGCATTTGTGCATGTCTGCAGGTATTGCAGTGTGTAATATCCCATCAGCCGCTGTGGAGGAGACGGCAGACTCCACGCTTTGCCACATCCTGAACCTGTACAGGAGGAACACGTGGCTGTACCAGGCCATGCGGGAGGGCACACGGGTCCAGAGCGTGGAGCAGATCCGAGAGGTGGCGTCAGGGGCCGCCCGCATCAGAGGGGAAACACTCGGACTTATTGGCTTTGGTGAGAGACAGAAACGGAGAAACACTTCATCAACAAACATAAGAACATTACACAATTGTGTTAAGCATTATAATAATGCTGGTTAATGCCATTAAGTTTAATTTATTTACATTAGTTGTTTGTTCTGTATTATACATTGAAATACACATTTGAGATATAAGTCGCTTTGGATAAAAGCATATATATGCATTTATATGTATGCACTATTTAACATTTTACATCAATTTTCAGTCATAAATTGAAGTATGAGAATTATGTAGTGATTAAAACATAAAGTGAATAAAAATCATAATTTTTTTTTTTAAAAAAGTACAATTTTAGTATTGAAATTCTTAGGTAAGCACAATCTAACCTTAACCCTTATAAGACTAAATTCAAGCATTTAACTAAAAAATATAATATTATAATAAATAATATCATTTAAAGTGGCTGCAGACTTTTGACTGGTAGTGTACATGAAAATATTATATTTACATATTAAAAATCACAGGAACCTTAAAGGAATGGTTCAAATGAATTATGTCTGGTCATCCATGTATAATTTTTGTTTTCATATAACTAAAGTCAGTGGTGACTAGAGTTAGTTAAGCTCCAAGAAGGACAAACAAGCACTATAGTTGTCATACAAGTTATATAAGCAATCCTAAAGTCATTTCTACTGGATGGGTTTGTGTGTCTATATATTTATGTATATGTGTGTTATAGGCCGATCAGGACAGGCAGTGGCTGTTCGAGCAAAAGCGTTTGGCTTCAATGTGATCTTTTACGACCCATACTTGCAAGACGGTTTAGAGCGATCGCTGGGCGTTCAGAGAGTTTACACATTACAGGACCTCCTGTACCAGAGCGACTGTGTGTCTCTCCACTGCAACCTAAACGAACACAATCACCACCTCATTAACGACTTCACCATCAAACAGGTAGACTACACACAAACAGTCCATTATCACGAGCGCCATCTAGTGGCTGTGGCCTGAACATGACTTTGAGGACTTGTGAAATATCATGTATGGTGTTTTCGTAGATGCGACAGGGAGCGTTTCTAGTCAACACAGCCCGAGGGGGTCTGGTCGATGAAAAAGCCCTGGCTCAGGCTCTAAAAGAGGGCAGGATACGAGGGGCCGCCCTGGACGTTCACGAATCTGAACCCTTCAGGTAACATTCGTAATGACATACTAATTAGAACAATCTCCATGTTGCTGTACACCACAATTTGACTCCAAACATCTCTTCAGCTGCACCTAAACTTGCATGCTATTACTTCTATATAATTTGTAATATTAGGATTAGTGGATCCCAGATTATAGTACATTGACAATGGTGTGTTATTTCAGATGTACAAACATAGCAACGTTTTCTGCTCCGGCATTTTACTTTTCTAGAACATAATGGAAATTTGTTATGGGAGCACAACATTAATTTATTTATTTCGCTTGTATTATTCTCATTTGATTATTATCACAATGTATTGCAATGTATCCAACGTTGAGTGATAATGAATTTTCAAAAGTTTGCATTTGGGAATTAATAAATTAATTCATAAAAAATATTTAAAAAAAAATAATAAAACAATTAAAAAAGATTTTATAACATTATACTTTTTTAGTTTTTTTACCGTTTCAAATAAATGCTTTTCTTTTGAACTTTCTATTCATCAAAGAAATGCTGAAAAAAATACATCATGGTTTCGCCTAAAATGTTTAGCACAATGATAATTATAAAAAAATGTTTTTCAAGCAGCAAATCATCATATTAGAATGATTTCTGAAAGATCATGTGACACTGAAGATTGGAGTAATGATGCTGAAAATTCAGCTTTGCATCACAGGAATAAATTACATTTTAGAATATATTAAAATGGAAACAGTTTTAAATGTAAATACATTTTACAGTAGTGTATGTACTTTCACATCACCAGCGAAGTACATCCTTTCAATGTGTTGTAAAAGTATGCAAATCAGGATATAGTCTCATTCTGTCTCCCTATGCTATGGTTTTCTCTCAGTTTTACTCAGGGTCCTCTGAAGGATGCGCCCAATCTGATCTGCACCCCTCACACGGCGTGGTACAGTGAGCAGGCCTCACTAGAGATGAGAGAGGCCGCGGCCACTGAGATCCGCAGGGCCATCACTGGTATGAAAGCTCCCATTGACCTCTTTCTTAAAATGTTTTCTTTTCAAAATGTAACCGCTTCTGATGATGTCATTGTAGAATTGGCATACGATATTGTGATTATCATAGGGTTGCATGGTTCATTTATTATGGTAAAGTTAATTATGGTTAAAGCTCCAGTCCGTAACTTTTCCTCTTTGTCGCCATCTCTCTGTTCGAAATCTGTAACTGCAGTGATTCGCGGAATTATCATCTTTACGTGGGTTGTAAATCGGCATGAAACAGCGCGGATGAACACAGTGCTTTGAGGCGAGTGCTGCTGTCAGTCACCGCGCTGTGTGGATAGCCTACTGTCATACAGAATCACAGATTCACTTTTTGAAAGTTTGACCAACATAAGAATTTTCATAAGAAAATGTCTTCTGAACAAGTAAGTAACATCCATTTTTGTTCTGACCAACTAAGGGGGAAAAAGCATTCGCCATGATAAGCTTCGTTAGATTTAATCAACGCGATTTACAGCAACCGTGCAAATTATAGCCTACTTTGTTCTCAAATTCATGTTAACAACATCAGCATTGCGTGACTAATGTTAAATTTAATGTGTTTTATGGTTACCTGTGTAGTTCAGAATTCATATTCTCCATAATAGCAAAACGAGAAAGGCACAACAAAGGAAACTCCATAACTGTGTGAATTAAGAAAACGTACTGTTACACGATTGAACTATTGAAATGTCTTACTTGTTCAGCAGAAAAAAGCCGTCTCTTCTTCCGTTTTGAGCCCCTTCAAAACACGGAGTTCACGCACTTTTCAAAAGCCCCGCCGATGTTAAATCCTTGTGTTCGCATGAGACGGTTTCTTTCTCTTTCTCTAGCCACCTTAAATCCGAAGTACGAAGTCTTTTGGGTTTTATAACTGCTGAATCTCCAGTTGACACTGATGATTGTTGTTTGGATCTTTCTGGATGCCATAAGTTTAATAATGTAAAGTGCTGCGAGAAAAGCCTATACATCTAAACATCTCGTCACGCGCCGTATAGCCGAAGGAGCCGAAACTCCTTCTTTATGTGTACGGGTGTGACGTAATTACGCAAAGACATGCTCGAATTTCCCGCGGAAACCCACCAGTACCACTGGAATTAAAATCATTATTACAAGCTAACCGTTTTGAATCTAGCTATGGCAGAATAAGTTTTTTTTAATATACCGTATTTTCCGCACTATAAGGCGCACTTAAAAGCCTTTAATTTTCTCAAAAAACGACAGTGCGCCTTATAATCCGGAGCGCCTTATATATGGATGGTGAACACACGTTCACCAAGACGGGGAGACAGCGCCGGGCGACTTACGCCACTATCTGCCAATGGATCGTGGATGCCTGGGCTGATATATCAGTCTCAACTGTGATCCGAGCTTTCACGAAGGCAGGAATAATCTCTTTATTCAGCCAGCTCACATACCCGTATTTACTTCCTGTTTTCGGCCGAAGTCCACAGTAGTTGATTGTCGAGTTCGCGCGCGCGCGATCAAACCTCCTCCGTGTGTTCAACATCTGATTCGGATGAACTATCCGAACTATCCATTTGAGCTGATATTCTCAGAACGCCACACAGCACCGTCATCGTCTCCACTGTTGCTTAGTTACCAATGATCGCGCACGCGCACTCGACAATCGCCTACTGTGGACTTCGACCGAAAACAGGAAGAAAATACGGGTATGTGAGATGGCTGAATAAACATCATTTTTATTCATATCTTTCACATTTACTGGAGTCAGATTCACCGTGTTCACTTACATGGCTGTGCACTTGTAATGACACATTAAGGTTGTTAAGAGGCTAAAAGCAGGTTTAAAACTTTACCCGTTTAAGTCAACAGGGTGCAAATTTTAAAAAGAGGATAACACGGTGTAGGCAACACCGGTTTTTGTCGTTGTTATCTGTACTGACAGCACTCCAAATTTACAAAAAATGAGCTCAATGTTAAAATTGACCGGAGTTTTCCTTTAACGTTTGAACAACGTTACCATGGGAGTGAACGACGGAGTTGTCAGTAAGCTTAATAAAGTTTGACTTTTTTGTTGACATTTGTTGACATCTAGTGGATGCATTCGCAAACCCAGTCAAACGTTTGACTGCAGTATCTTATGCGCCTTATAATCCGGTGCGCCCTATATATGAAAAATGTTCTAAAATAGGTCATTCATTGAAGGTGCGCCTTAAAATCCGGTGCGCCGTATAGTGCGGAAAAATACGGTAATTATTTTGGATTATTTTTAACTTAAAAAAGTTACGGACTGGAGCTTTAACTGGAGTGTATGTGAACTGTGAAGGGAAGGGGGTCCTGATTTACCTCTCTTTCTCTCACTCCTATCTATATATATATATATATATATATAGCATAACTTTTCAAACTGCTATTTTAACATTCTTATGCTGCCTAGCAAGCACTTGTATTTCCTTCAGGGAATGTAAATCTAGTTCTTTATATAAACTCTGTCTCCCTCAAAGGATCCGTTCTGTTGTACATCAGTCATCATGTCTCGGGGTTTGTTCTGGTTTTCAGGTCGTATTCCAGACAGTCTCAGAAACTGCGTCAACAAAGAGTTTTTTGTTACCACGGCGCCGTGGGGGATGATGGAGCAGCAGGTACACCCGGAGCTCAACGGAGGAGCTTACAGGTGAGAAAAGAGATTTTAAACAGAACCAAACATACATTACCTTTCATATCATACTAACCTTTATTCCATCCACCCTTGAGTTTGTTAACATCTCAAACACCCTTGTTTCTGGGATTGAGAATCGAGAACCGGTTCTCATTTAGAACCAGACCCAAATGATTTTCATTGCATTCAGTTCTATTAATCTCCCAGTCTTAACAATAATTGTTAATATCAGATTTAACATTATAAAAAAAACTTGAAAGAATTGTTTTTAATTTATATATATATATATATATATATATATATAAAATATATATTCTGTATATATACAAACATTCTTACAACTATAGATATACTTAGAAGTAAAACTGAACATCTTGAATATATCTAGAATATATGTTGAATTAAATGTATTTTTCTTACCACATTGGCAAATAGTTTTCTTCTTGTTTTCAGTATAAATCTACTAGCATAATTTAGTGATATTTATGAGCTAGATTCAGAAAAATGTTTAATAAATAGTATAATAATAATTAATAGTTTAATATATATATATATATATTTATTAAACTTTGTTAATAATGGATCAATAAATGGTTTAATATATATATTATTTGTTAACTAAAATATTTTTATTATAGTATTTACTAAAATATGTTAATAATAGTATAATAATAATATAATAAATAGAATTGGTTAATTAATTATAAATGGTATTAAAAACATCAAAATATGTTACAAAAAATTAAAGGTGCAGTAAGCGATTTCTGAGAAACGCTGTTGATATTTGAAACCACCCAAATAAACACGCCCCTACCCAAAAGGATCACACCCCTATCTTGATTACTCTGCCCCAAATCCCTCCCCCCCTCATGATTGTATACTCCCCTTACTGCTGATTGGCTACAAGTGTGTTTTGGTGCTCGGCCCGATCCACTTTTAACAGCATTTCTGAGAATTTCACTTACAAAAGTACTAAATCCTTAATCAAATCGCTGAGGGACCTGTATTGTCAAATAAAATCTGAATCAAAACCAGATTCATAAAATTCCCTCTAATCGCCATCCCTGCTCTTTTCCCCACTCTACTCAAGATCACTCCTTCCTCGCAGTGAGATGAAATACTCAACAAATTCATTCATTCTGATGTATGAGCAGCCAACCAGCACAGCGGCTGTGTTCAGCAATGCAAACAAGCTTCATTAGTTCATCCCTGTGTAGTGAGTGTAATCCCTCCAGATCGCAATATGCAAATAGACTTAAAGGTTACTGCCGTCTGTCCCTGTGGCAAACATAAATTAACTTCGCTCTACATCGACAGCATCACCTCTAGCTTTACCCGCTATGACCCTTCTGAACGTTTCCCTCAACTAACACCTCATTTTTATGCATTTAACTCTCCAACCCACACATATAAACACACACACACACACACACAATGTGTGTTGCTCAGTCTGATTGCTTCTCTCGCTCAGCAGAGTGGCCCAACCGCTACCAGCCGTTTCTCCTGGTGGCCTGCAAGACAAAATGTATACCTAAACAATGACAGGTAAATATTCACAGAGTACTGCAACACAGCCGTCGCCTGATATCAAGATAACAGCCCAAATAGCTCTGTGAAAGACATTGATGAGGTCTGAAACATCAAGCATATCCTTACTTTGATTTGACAACTTTTGTTTTTACATTTCTCATTCCCATGTGCAATGGAACATGCCATCATGTGATACCTTCCTATTTATGGAAATGTTACATAAAGGCTGAACAGCAATTTTTACTTACTAATTGGTTTTTTTTATTGGTTCTAGAATTATTTTAATTGCACATAATTTTTTATTGTATGTATTTTGCTGTGTTGTTATGAGCATTTGTTAAATTAGATTGTGGCACAAATGGCCCTCCATACAAAAATCACAAAGTATTTGAGCATTCAACAAATAACCTGAGGAATCAATAAATCAGATAATAAAACGATTAAATGCATACCTTAAATACCATATATTTATTTTAAGCAATAAATACCTTAATAAAGAATTATCGGTAGCACTTTACAATAAGGTTCATTTGTTAAAATGAATGTATTAGCTAACATGAACTAACTATGATCAATACTTTTTTTTACAGTATTTATTCATCTTTGTTAACGTTAGTTAATAAAAATACATCTGTTCATTGTTTCTTGTTAGTTCACTCACAGTGCATTAACTAATTTGAACAGATACAACATTTGATTTTAATAATGTATTAGTAAATGTTGAAATTAAAATGAACAAAGATTAATATATGCTGTAGAAGTATTGTTCATTATTAGTTCATGTTAACTAATGAAACCTTATTGTAAAGTGTTACCAATTTTGACTGCTAAGTGTATAAATAAGGTTTTTCAGCCAAAATGAAGCTTTGAGTCTGTAAGCAATTTGTTGTAGTCAAAGAGTGTAGCATTAAACCAGTGACCTCACCGTAACTCTGTATTCTCTGTCTTTTCTCCAGGTTCCCCCCTGGTGCAGTGGGTGTGTCTCCTGGTGGCATGGGTGGACAAATAGAGGGCATGATGCCTGGCGGGGTGCCCAGTGCCCACCCCCTGCCGCCGGGCACCCAGCCCAGCCTCGCCCCCTCCCCCACCCAGCTCCTCAAACACAACGACCATAGAGAACACCTGGCCAAGTCATAACCACACACCTGACCGCTGACCAACTGCAAATCGTAGAGACTAAGAGACAGTGAACGGGTGAACAAGCAATCAGCTGCCAGCGCCAGCTGCACCAGAGACATGCTTCACGGACGTCTACCACTGTCTTGTTTTTCAGTTTGAGTGTTTTTCCGTTCATTTACGTTTTAACCTAGGAAGTTCGGTGGTTTTGTTTCTGTTGTTTTTGCGAGGGGCGGACATCATTTCCACCTGTTCGAATGCAGGTGGGCAGTGCTTTCTTGTCAGGAGGCGTGGTATCACGTGATGGCCACGCCTCTTTCCTCGTGCACCAGTTTGAAACATTGACTGATAACCCACATGTCATGCACTTCTCTTCTTCCTCCTCACCTTATTTGGGCACGTAACAGAACTCAACGCAGTTATACGTTTCCACATCGTTTCTATCTTTACATCCACGGAATTAGTGCTCGTCTTTGTTTCAGTGTTAAAAGTGCTTGATGATAAAACATATATATACAGTGTATCTATTAAGAGAACAGAGAGGGAAAGGCTGTTCTTGGGCAAAAATAAAGATGATAGAGAAATGATTAGCATTTGTTTTGTTTTTTTCCAGAACATTTAGAGTAGCTGACCTCTTGTTTACAGAATTGCACAAATTGAACAAGCACCAGCTCAGAAACCACCCCTCTTTAAGACCCAAGAGCACACTATTTTACTAATATATATATATATATATATATAAATTAATTTAGATTAAAAATGTTTTTGTTTTTTTCAGGATTTGTTCGATTCTCTGTCAGGTTTTTAAATATCAGTTCCCCAAAACGGCAATTTGGATTTGAGTGAACGTCACCGTGAGGAACATTTTGATTTTGTGTTTGCTATGAGTTCTGTAAAACTCCAAAAATAGATGGCAGCTCACACAGAAAAAAAGGGACTGGAGTGAAAAACCGCCCCTGTCTCAGGAAGAACATTTACTCCAAAACACACGACAACCCGGTGGTCTAAATACTCGCTCCTTCCCATCAGCCTCTTCGAGGTATTTTTATAGATCTGACATCCAGTGCGTTTTTTTGGTGTTGAATGTATGGCAGTTAAATTAGATTTGTATTGTCTAGTTTAATGTTTTTGTAACCATACTTTCCTGTGATCCTCTCCCTGATCCTTTTCTTTTGGGTTCTTTATGTGGAAGCGCACTGTTCGGAGCTCATTGTGTTGTTTATATGCAATATCCTGAGGTCCTCGGCCAACTCCGGTCAGGTTGGTTCCAGAACTGTAGGTTTGGTTTTTAGTGTGAGTATTTGTATTTGTTTATTGTACCGAGGTGAACATTTAGCATACAGTACAGTTCAAATAAAAAAAAAAATACCGTTCTGACTTTCTATACTGTGCTCGTGTGTTTGTCTCACTTTACACACGCATTTCTGAAGGTCAGACAGGATTGGCAGCATCTGCTGTGCTGTGACCTTCAGATGCCCCTGCATGATTCTGGAGGCCACGAGGGGTCGCTGTGGCTCTGGCTTAATATGTTGCTTGATGCAGCGATCATTGTAAATACTTGCGTGCTAATTTTTGGTAAAGAAATAATAAGAGGGGAACTATACTTTTGCAAAAAAAAAAAAGAAATCACAGCAAAATTTACAAATCACACTAAATTTTGGGGGGTCTTAATAGTTTATTTTAGAATATAATAGTTTTATTATATAATTATATTATATAATAAAATTGTGAAGGGCTAGTTTCCCTCTTGTTATTTCTTCACCACAAAAATGAGACCCCCCAAAAATTAAATATTGCATTAGATACAAAATATCAAAGCCAGTGGCATCTGGCATCATTATGGATTGTGTTATGATTTTTTTCTCAACTTTGAACAATAAATCTATTTTATAATTTAAAACTTAATACATTTAATGTTGTGAAATGTTTTGCTTGAAAAATATAAAATAGGCTTGTGCTATCTTTTCTTAAAATAATTGCTGCTTGTTTATATATATATATATATATATATATATATATATATATATATATATATATATATATATATATATATATTAGGGCTGTCAAATGATTAATCGCGATTAATCGCATCCAAAATAAAAGTTTGTGTTTGTTTACATAATATATGTGTGTGTCGTGTGTATAATTATTTTGTATATATAAATACACACACATGCATGTATATATTTAAGAAATATTTGCATGTATATATTTTATATATATTTATACATAATTAATATTATATATAAATATAAATATTCTATATATTAATAACACATTTTTCTTAAATATATACATGCATGTGTGTGTATTTATATATACAAAATAATTATACACACTACACACACATATATTATGTAAACACAAACTTTTATTTTGGATGCGATTAATTGCGATTAATCGTTTGACAGCCCTAATAAATAAATATATCTATATATATATATATATATATATATATATATATATGTGCGCTTAAAAAGTTATCACTATTTAAAAGTTATTTTGAAATGACTTTACTTAATCGTGAAAAGTATATTTTGGCAAATTATAAACTGTTTGGTCAGGGTTTCAACGCTTTGATCAATTTAATGCAAGACCGTTAAAATATGTGACGTTCTGATATCATCTGACAATAAAATTGTATGTTTTCTGTAAATGTCCTCTTCATTCTGATATTAATCTCTATCTTGTTTTGCTGATGTGCCGTTGCATTGCTCCCACTTGTTTTTATTTGCTTAGTGCTGATAATGTGGGTGTGTCGCTGAAATATGACAGGACTTTGGACACTGGCATTGTTTTATGCGTCTCAGTAGATCAGCGCTATCATTGTTTGAATAGTTGGCATGGGCAGACAGATGCCAGACAGTGTTTGAGTGCTACAGTGAACCTCGTGAAACTAAATACTGCATATATTTGGATATTCTTGGATTAAGTACTAATACAGTCTGACTGTAACAATCATAAGAGGTGCATCGAAGCACGTGAACATATGGGAAAAGCTAGAATATTCCCGGATGGCAGTGTGCAGTGCGGTGCAATGCAAAAAAAGAAAGAAAGAAGCATACGTTAATATATATATATATATATATATATATATATATATATATATATATATATATATATATATAATATCATAGTATTATATATTGATTAGCCATTTCAAAAGTTTATCAAGTGCATAATCAAATCCAGTAATGAATCAATTTTATTTTTTGATTTGCAAAATGTAATAATTAAAATTAAGATAGTTACAGAGGATTAAAGAGAAAACTAAAAAAAATCTGACAACTAAATATAGGTCAATAATGTCTAACAATAACAACAGGTTTTATTTGTGCTCTTCTGAATTCGCATTGAGTGACCTTTGTATTGTGGCTCCTCCCACTTCCGCTGCACAGGTGAGGTGTGCGTGACGTCGTCGAGCATGACGGGAGGAACCTGCGTTTGATATCCATGAAGTTTTTCTTTCTAAACTAAGAGCTCAAATACACAGGTACAGATATGTGTGATTTCGGTAAGTGACTCATTTATTTCTTTTTTATTGCACGTACGAGAATTATAGTTGATTTATAGTTTAATTGAAGACATAAAAAGAGGGTTTCTAGAGAGGAAATAATCCTCCGACATCAGTTATTTGTTCTTTAGAAGTGCGCGTCTGTTGTTATATTTGCATTTTTCTCGTTTTTTATTCACTGTAGAAAAGACTATTCAGCAGCTGGATGAACCCTTAGACACATTATTTTACACTAAATCCTGCGAAAGTAGGCCTAAATCAGCGCAGTTTCAGTAATAGTAGTAGTTTCATAGTAGACACAAATGTCATTTGTGTCACGCTATAAATATACACAACTATAAACATTATGAACTATATAAAAAAATTGTATTGAAGCAACACATAAAATGTATGCCGCTGCATTAGAATTTAAAATATCAAAACAAGTATATTTCAGTAATATAATAAGCACAAAAGCACTGGTCAACTAGTTAAAACTCATGGGAAAATGTTTACTAAACGTAGCATTATTTGTATAGGCTATCTAATGCAATGACTTTTGTAATTGTGAGTTTTGAGAGCACTGCATGAAATTACATTATATTAATCTAGACAAGCAGAAGGGTCCTGGGCGGCTGATGAAGAAAGGATTGACTCTCATCGTCATTGGTCATGTTAATTTCATCCTGAGCGCTATTCTTCATGGCAGCGTGTTACGCCACGTATCCAAACCCAGCAATGAGATCTCAACGGAGTATACCATATCAAACATCATCTCTGTCTCCTCAGGACTGCTGGTGAGTGATTATGCGTTCACTTACGTCCCATCTTTAGCTCCTAAACTCCCAGTGAGTCTGAATCCTGAGAATATTCCCTCAAAAAGGGCATAATCACATCATGTCACATCTACTGCTTATAATTTGGGTGTGCTGTGGTTTTCTTGTTCACCCAAATTAAGTCTGCTGTTTTTACATATATTTAACACATTCAATTTGTTAGGCTTCCTGAGCAGTTTTAACATTTCTACGTTTTCCCACAGAGCCAGAAAAATGAAAGGGTGCTTTCCACTAGCACTTTTGGTACGCCCACGGGTTCGATTGACGTCAGAGTTCGCTTCGTTTGATGATGTGAACGCTGCTTTCAGAGTGTGTTCACACTTGTAATTCGGTTCTTTTGGTCTGGAGTGGACCAAAAAAGAAAATTACACATTTAGTCCTGGTTCGATTAGCATTTACACTGTCATTTTTTAACACCGAACCTAAAGATACAAAACAAAAAAAGCTGCTTTTATGACACAGCCTATATTTTGCGACAGAACGTGTCAAACATCCAGAACAATGCCTTGTCAGCACATAATGAAGCTGAGAACTCTTGAAGAGCTTATAAAATGTGTAAAGGAGTTAAAACAGCGACAGGAATCCCTCCGTTGTCACACACACAAATAAAGATCTGCTGTGAAGAGAAGCGGTTCTGATGCTTGTATCAAACTGTGATGGGCAACATCGTGACTATGATGAGAAAAAACAGCTAAGCCTGAGCATTCTGTCCTTTTTAGGGTCGGTTTTTGGTTCGTTTACATGTCTTTGGCCCATGTTGCGTTCATATTTCAGTGGAACCACATCGGAGTTTGTAGACCCACCTTTTCTCGGTCCACTTGTTTGGTTTTGCACCAGGGTTCGGATGGCAGCGTTCACACTTATTCAAATGAACCGTACGAAAAGAGCAGTCTCCCAGAGTTCGTTTTAATCTAATCGAACCAAACCTGACAAGTGTGAACACACACCCTAAGAAATCAGGTGCGAACCGTACCCGGGTCCGAATAAAAAGGGTGGTCTGGGATACGGTTCATGTCATCTCTGGTACGGTTCGCTGCTGATATGAACGCAATTGTACTTACTCGCGGAGGTGAAGCGCTATTGATGACGTAGACTGTGATTTTATAAAACTGTGTGTTTGTGTGTGTTCTCCCTTCTTTTCTTGACAAGAAAACACGCACTGCTAGCAGAAAATGTATGTCTCAATTCTGCTGGACTTCCACGTTCTTCAGAACATTTGCAGTACATTCGTGGCAGAAGCAAGTGCCATTTATGTGCAGACGCTTTGAAAAACAAAACCAAGTGTTCAAAAATCTAAATATTAAAGTGAGGCGAGCAACTATAGTATGCATTTTGTCAATACCATGTAACTGGGGGTGAACAGCTGCTGCTTTGATGACGCAAGCCTACCACGGTTAGGACCCAAATAATAGAATTAGTGCTTTTGAATCGATTAATCGCATCTAACATAACATTTTGTGTGTATATATATATATATATATATATATATTTTTTTTTATACACACATATATTTATCAACTTTTTTGTTAGAAGCAATTAATTGTGATTAATTGATTTATCAGCACTAAATATAATGTGAACACAAACCAGCGGGGGAAGAAGGAGGGGGGAAGCAATCGAACTCTGGTTCGAACCAGGTAATCAAAGCAAGTGTGAAAGCACCCTAAAATTCCACTTATGTCCTCTAACGTTTTAAAAAATATGTTTTTCTCAGAGCATCGCAAGTGGAATTGTTGCAATATTGGTGTCGCGGAATATTACCTACTGGAAACTAGTAAGTAACCTTTTCTCTGTTTTAGTGTTATATTTCTAAGGCCTTATCGCGATTGTTCTGTATACCACTACAAAAATACAATGTTCTTTCCCTGTGTTATTTATAGTCAGCATGAAACAGAAGTTACGATAAGTCTTAATTGTGACGTACTGTGCAAAAGTCTTAGGCACGTTAGTATTTTCACCCCAATAAAATGGTTTTAAGCCAGTTATTTATTTATTTAGCTATAATGTGTCAGTGGGAAATATCAGTTTACATTTCCAAACATTAATTTTGCCATTAATTGTAATAATCCAGTGAGATTTCTGTATGCACGAGGAGTCTGACAACAGCCGGTATGATCTGATCTCACCATCACTTGAGTCTGTCTGTGATTACATGAAGAAACAGAAAAAACTGAGACAGATTGAATCCAGAAGAACTGCGGCAACGTCTCCAAGACACTTGAAGAAACCTTCCCGCCAAGCTACAGTACTGTGAAAAGTTGTAGGCACTTGTGTAAAAATGTGAGGATGCTTTCAAAAATAATGTCATAAATGGATTTTATTTATCAATTAACTTCTATAACGAAATTAAATCAATATTTGGTGTGACCACCCTTTGTGTTAAAAACAGCTTATGTCCGGGTACACTTGCACATAGTTTTTCAGGTAGTTTTGTAGGAAGGTTGTCACAGTTCTGGATTTAATCTGTCTCAGTTTTTTCTGTTTCTTCATGTAATCCTTCATGTAATCACAGACAGACTCGGTGATGGTGAGATCAGATCATACTGGCTGTTGTCAGACAAAAATCACACTGGATTATTACAATTATGGCTAAATGAATGTTTGGAAATGGAAACTGATATTTCCTATTGACACTGCAGAAAAAGATATAAATAACTGGCTTAAAACCATTTTTTTTTTTGGAGTAAAAATACTAATGTGCCTAAAACTTTTGCAAAGTACTGTTACTGTATATCCGAGTGAAACGGCTTCTCTAACAAGAAAAGATGTAAACACCTTTTTTAATGCCAGTAAACACGACGTCATCAGAGAAGAGATGTCACTGCAAGAGGAAGGGGAAGTTATTTTGATTCCGAGGGCACATAAAAAAAAAAAAGAGGTGCACGGAAAAATTGTTTATAATAAATATGGCGATATTCCATAATAAAGCAAGAATTGTCCATTTTGATTTTATGGTGACATTAACACGGCTCTGTTCTTCTGCTTCCTGTAGCACATCGGTCTGTTAGTGAGTTCCTTTCTGAACACCCTGCTCACGCTGGCATGTTTATTGGGGTTGATTTTGGCTATCAGTCTGACCATTTCAACCGACGGGAGCGGCCTCATGAAAGGATGCAATTCCACTAATAATGCACGTTCTCCGGTTATCGTCGACTGCCCTTTTGATGCCACTCGCATCTACGTGAGTCTTTCTACTGGAAAATATTATCAGAAATGCATCTGTATATACACATCAGCCTATTAGAATGATTTCTGAAAGATCACGTGACACTGAAGCCTGAAGTGATGATGCTGAAAATTCAGCTTTGCATCACAGGAAGAAATTACATTTTAAAATATATTCATATAGAGAGCATTTATTTTAAAATGTAATAATATATCACAATGTTGCTGTTTTATTGTATTTTTGATCTAATAAATTTAGCCTTGATGAACAAAGGAGACTTTTTTTAAATGTTAATTATTCCAAATGTCTTACCCCCAGTGTAAATACTTGAATTGAGAGTCTTGCATATGAAGACTGAACTTGTTTCTCGTCCAGGACACAACCCTTGCTCTGTGGTTCACCTGTGCTGCGTTTACTTCACTGGAGGCTGGACTGTCTGTGTGGTGCTTTATTGTGGGTCTCCAATTAAGAGGCATCGGACCCTGTGCTCAAAACTACATCAGAGAGCAGGTACACCTCTGAATATTCATGCAGACGACTCCGCTGAATTAACCTGCTGTGTGTAAAACCAAAATCATTTTCCTAGGGATTTTCTATGGACTGATTATGGAAATGATTTTGCAGGGTTCAGAGCTCTTTACATTTAATGCATTTAAGCAGGTGGTTTTATTCAAAGCTTCTTACATTGCATTAATCTATACATTTCAAAATGCTAGTTTTTGAAAACGATACCGTTATTATATCCATGTGAACTACAAAAAAACTGAAACATCATGCACATGTGTATTATGTGTTCAGTTTATTGGCGCCTAGTGTTTCTTTACAAAGTGACATCGCCAACTACTGGCCTGGCGGCAGAATACAAAATTTTTCGCGGATCCGTGTGAACGGAGATTGTTTTAACAACATTGTCATCGTGAAAAAAGCAAAGGTAAAACTATTTTGTTTTTAGTACATAGTTGTCATGTAACCGTACCCTGAATCTTCGAACAAACTGTTTTCAGACTCTTTGAGATGAGGTGATGTGCAATGTTTTATTATGAGAAAATTAAACTTTTTTTATTTTTATTTTTTACCTTTGATGCATGTAAATCTATTGTTTGAGACCACAACAAAATGAGAAACCTTTAAAATAGCATAATTTGGGCACTTTAATTCTAAAAAGGTCATGTAGAACTGTAATTAAAGCTGCAGTCCGTAGCTTTTTTTGGGGTTAAAAATTATCCATAATACATTTTTGAGCAAATACATAACCAGCCAGTGTTCAAATCTCTCTGCTTGCCTTAGCTCGATTCAAAGCGGTAATTTTGTAAAAATGTTTTTAATTTCAGTGGTACTGGTTGATTTCCGCGGGAGATTCGAGCATGTCTTTGAGTCATTACGTCACATCTGTACACATAAAGAAGGAGTCTCGGCTAGTCCGCTATATTGCGTGTGAGGATGCTGGAGGTGGAGATTTATAGCCTTTTCTCACTGCACTTGATATAATTAAACATCAATTTGATGGCAGATCCAGAAAGGTTCAAATGACAATCACCAGCGACAACTAGAGATTCACCACTTGTAAAACGCAAAAGACTTCGTTCAGACTTCGGAGTATACAGAAAAAAAAGAGACTGCAACCGGCCCATGCGAAAACAAGGATACATATCGGAAGGACATTATATGTAGTCACGCAATGCTGACGTTGTTAATATTAACAATTTGAGAACAAAGTATAATTTGCATGGTTTTGCGTGATAAGATAAGCGATTTTTAGATTTAATCAGCGTGATTTACTGCAATGTCAAAACCAGAACAAAAGTGGATGTTACTTACTTGTTCAGATGACATTTTCCGGTGAAAAGTCTTATGTTGGTCATACTTCCAAAATGAATAATCTGTGATTCTGAATGCCAGTATCCACACCGGCGCGGCGACTGACAGCCGCACAGTCTCCTCAAACATTGTGTTCATCCGCGCTGTGCCGTGTCGAAGTACAACTGACGTAAAGCTGATATTTCCGCGAATAACTGCAATTGCAGATTTCAAACAGAGATGGCGACAAAGAGGAAAAACTGCGGACATTAAAAAACATAGGGATTAAAAAGAGATATAATATGAGCTCTTTTTAATCAATGTGATTGTCTTTCATAACAGCTGGAAGAGGAGGCCCTGGCGTCAGCATCAAAGATGGACCAACACCACACAACTCAAGGAGAGCGTCTCATTGCACATCAGTCCGCCAGCGCTTAGAGAGGTGGGACATTTACTGTGGTGAAACAGAACATAATGCAAGTTTTCATTCATCTGGAGTTACATTCTGCATTTGTATTAATTAATAATGTAAATTGTTCTGTAGATGATTTGAAGCACTGAGGTTGTGAAGCAGATTTTTTGCCACTTGAACTCAAGTCAGTTGAGGATGTTTGGTCTGAATGTGTTCAGTCTACTCATATAGATTGTAATTAAACCCAAAACATATTCATAGTCATTTTCTGAAACTGTATATGGAGTTACATGTTGTGCAGTTATGGTTTACATGGAAACTAAACACCCAACTTAATTTCAAAATTATGATTTTTTTTAAAGTGACCACTTGTATTCTTTTTTTATATCATGTTATGTTATTGCGCTCCCAATGTCAAATATACCAAATGCTGTTTTATTTTACTTTAAAGGAAAGCAACTGTTTTACTATCTAATGTGCCACACAGTGAGCTCTCTATAGCCGGTTGTCATACAAAGTCCAGTATGCAGTATAGGGAGTGTGCCAGAGCGCCGTCAGAGACGTTAATCTGGGGTGGATTCAATGATGCAGAGAAAATCTCACACTCACAGATAATCTAGTGTGATTACAGTAGTTAAATATTGACAGAGACATGACTGAAACTGTCAAAACAAAGAGATTTCCCTCAGCTTGATGCATTAAATTTCATTTCAAAAGACTGTTTGTTTAGAGAGCTGTAATATACTTTCATTCCTGACACGTTACTCAAAATCCCTCATCTCGATGCAGAAAAGTGAACCTTTGCTTTTACATTTAATTTAATTATTTGTAACATTGTGGTGTGTTGTTATCAATGTGCATCATATTTGAATATACATTTTCATATTAAAAAAACGAGTTTTCAGAAATCTAACTGCTCCATAATGAATTTTTTTTTACATTAGGCTGTGAAATGTTTTTCAGATATAATAATTTCATTTTAGATTCCATAACTAGAGTTGAAATGGTGAACATTGTTCTTTTATATCTACAGTTTAAAATGTTTTAAATATTTGCTATAATGTTTTAGTAGTTTTATGAACAATTATCTAAAATGCAATTAACATGGCATGAAAAGTATGTTGAAGAGGATGAACAACATTTTCTGAAGACCTACTTTCACTGATCCTTTGTTAGATCGGAAAAATAGTTTTCAAAGACCTGTTTTGTGCCCTTGTGCCTCCTGTGATCTCACACTGGCCCTGTTTAATTCCATATGTAAGTTGATGATGTGTTCTCAGTGTTGGTAAAGCTGACCTCATTCACTTCACTGCACCTGTTGAATTGCTGGACATCTGCTGTTCACTCAATGCATCAGAGTGTCAGAGACAAAAACCTCTACAATCTAGATTATCAGACTCCCAACTATATGGTTATTACTTTATCATTTAATCAAGATAAAGAGAAAAATGCATAATAAAATAACCTGTTCCCCTGTTTTTTTGAGGTCATTGTGAAATTTAGTTTGAGAGTTATTTATCGTTTTTTACCGTATATACATATATATTTTTCCCATTATCTTTTATTTGTCACTGCTTTGATTCCTGTGCAATATTGTACACAAAACAAGTTCCTCTGTAACTGAAGACAAAATATTAGTGCTGTCAAATCGATTAATCGCGATTAATAGCATCTAACATAAAACTTTGAGTTTATTTAATGTTATATAAACACGTCTTTAAACTCAAACTTTTATGTTAGATGCGATTAATTTCGATTAATCTATTTGACAGTACGATACCTTTTTAAAATATTTTTTCGAAATAATTTTTAAAACTTAAAAATATATAAAATATAAGTCAGTTATAAAATAATTCACTTAATTTTCGTTTCGAAACGACTTAATTAAAAATGCACCGTTACTTTGTGCCAGAGATGCACATGCGCAGTTTCTGGCTGTCTTGAGGACCGGTGTTCTGACGATTCATGCTACCCATCGAGATTTGCTACTTAATGGTTATGCGCATGTGCAGACGCACAGTTTTTTTTAACAAAAGGTACATTTTCATGTGTTATATTGTAATTTCCCTTTAAAAATGCTAACTAGCATATGAATATGTGTACGGTCAGCCAGATGAACAATAATAACTGAAATTTTCAGTTACTAAGGAAAAGTGTGCTTTGACAAGTCAAAGATGAATATTTGATGATAATTTTTAATTTTCACACCGTTTTAAAAATAAAAACAGTAGTCTACAGTATACAGTAGCTACTCATAACTTAGAATTGTATTATAATTGTATTTCATACAATATTAATCGACATTCAGTGATCGATTCGCGTTACGGTAGCATTTTTCGACAAGGCAGCACAAATCGTCAGAACACCGGGCATAGAAATACAATAAGCTGTAAGAAAGTAAATTACAATGAAACTTCATAAAATGGGCGGGTATATCTGCCGGGAGGTTGTTTATATCTTGCCAGGTAGGTTGTGTCTGAACATTAACAATCATAGTTTAAGTTTTCACTGTGTATTTTCAAATTAAGCAGTTATTAAAGTTTCTGAGTACTGTTATTAGGATGTAACTAGTGATTGTGTCGACCGCATGCAGAGCTGTTTTGGTCACAAGGTGCGTGTTACTTTTCTCAGCGCTTGTGAGTGTGGACTAATCACAATCGTTAGTGGTTATAGATTTTAGATGCATTATATTTGAGAGAGCTATGGTAGATTTTTAATTTCTTTGTTAGATATTAATCCTTCGAATTAAGGTACTTAAACGATTATACATATTATTACAAAATCTTTTCTGACGAGACAAAAAACGTCGTGGGATTTGAATGCGGCTCAATAGCGGTCTGTGCTGTTGAGCCTCCAAGCGCCCCCTGGGGGAATGAAGGTGTATGTCTCGTTGGAAACAGCTGAAGGTGGGGCGAATCGGGAGTTTCGTTGCGATTGTGAATATGCAAAGCCACCGGGCAGCCGTCCGTGACGCTCTTCATGTGCTCGTTTCGGGTAGTTTACGATTTTTGTATCCATCAGCGTCTCAATGCAAATAAGCAGCCGGAGCGAGTGTTTTCATGCGGTGTGAGTGTCTGAGTGAAACTGCAGCACGGACTTCAGTGTGTTGCATGATTGTAGGTGCTGAAATCAAACCTGCAGCGTAAATCTACACCGAGAGACACGCTGTATAGTGTCATATGGAGAAAACCAGATGATCTTTGCCAGGGAAAGGTAAAGTTTCATATGCATAATATTGCACGCACTGTTCAGCTGTTTTAACCCACATAAATATGTGGTTTTTAGCATATTTTATATAATAATGTATGTGTGTAATATATATATATATATATATATATATGGTCTACTGTTTCTGTCTGGAAATGCATGTTGATTAATTTTCAGACACGAGTAATCCCATCATATGTTACACTGCTGACACCGCAGACCTGTGTGAAATATCGGAAATGATTTATATATTTATAACACGAGTAATGCAATCTAAGGTGTGCGTAGGTTTGTCTATAATTAAATTATTTGAAGAATAATGATTAATTTGACATGTCTAGTAATTTGTGGTGTTTTAGATAATTCATGAAGACTTTCTTCAGATTTTTAATGTCTGGTTACTGTGTTTCGAAAAAGGTTGTGTGTTTGTAGACTCACACAAACGTGTTGTAAGGGGGATGGGATGTTTACACTGGCTCCTGTTAATTCAGATTCAACACAATCGGGATTAAGAAGGGCTGATGAAGTGACATGAGAAAGTGTTACGTATTACTCACTGCCCATATTACTTGCCTTTCTCACAAATCGATTTGAATTAAATGCATTTCTGTTTAAAATGCACAGTTGAATTCGATGTGTGAACTCATAAAGAACAGTACAATTTCAGCTGAATATTCAAAGAATAAAATATGACATTATATTTTGCATAATGAACAAACTATTTTTAGCAAGGTTTTTAAATTAAATATATATAATATAATTAACTATAGAATTAATAATATTTTCACGAGAATTAAGCACATTTCTCCCCAAAATACACAATACTGTACATCTTCTCAATACAGTAATACAGTAATGAATGTCTGGACACAGTGATTTTTTAAAATTATAATAAGAAATAATAGTCATTCTTTAGTTTACGGTCCAATTCTCACTATTAACTACAACTTTTGCCTCAATAATCTCCTAATTAATGTTTATTAATTTAAGTATGGATTAGGATTAGGGTATGTAGAATATGGTCATGCAAAATAAGGCATTAATATACTGTACTATAAACAGCCAGTATCAGTAATATGCATGCTAATCAGCAACTATACTTAATAGAGAGAATTGGACCCTTAACTAAAGTGTTACAGAAATAATTAAATTCACCACAGCAAATACTACTATAATGTACGAGTTCTTTTAAAAAAAAATATAATACTTCAACACAATTTAAATATTTTCTTTTGCATGCACTAATGCATTTTTTAAATTGTTTTATTGTTAAAGAAATGTGCTTAATTGTCATGAAAATAATGAAGAAATGCTTGGTCCTAAAATAGGCTTGATTTTCTTAATGCAAAATATAATTGTGTACATTTTCTCCATTTTGGAGCTGAAATATGACCTTGCATGCTCTTGAACCGGCGGTTTTGTGAGGTTCACCTAGATAATGGATTGTTGGTTTTGGTTTACGGCTGTTATAACAGCTGTTTAACTGGTCTTTCCTAGTATAGTGACTGTTTACAAGCTGGGGTTTACATAAGCTTGCTTTGCCAGACACAAAACTAATGAAGTTAACCAGTTAAAATGGATAATTAATTTGCTTAATTGCACACACTGGCTTCAAATGAGTCTGGGAGCATCTGTATTTTATATATGTATTTTTAAATGTTGTTCCAGGTATCCAGTAGCAGTTGTCGTAGCCACATCCTAGAGCCCCGTTTGAAGGATCCATTGAAGACCACCCTGACCAAAGACAGTTTCTCATTCATTCTGTAGTCTTGTATGCATGTGAGAGGATGCATAAGACTGCGGAGGGGTCTGATCAAAGCGTGCACTGACCCCAGACGCCGGTCAACAGACGGGTATCCATGAGGACCATCTGACAGAACAGGAAGAGCATGGAAGCAGTCGATCGTAGCGGTTTACCTTACACACTATGGGTGTGGCGGATCCCTGCGTAGAGAAGAAACCCTTGTGCTCGTGTTCCTGCCATTCAAACATGGATTCACCTTCCCGAGGGATGTGGCTCTTCGGGGCTCTGCTGCTCTTGTCCCTGTTCACGAGCAGCCTGGGCATCCACATGGACTCGGCGGTGGGCGCTCACAGCATGTTCACCTGCGAGTCGATCGGTCTGCGTATGTGCCAGGATCTACCCTACAACACCACCTTCATGCCCAACCTCCTGAACCACTACGACCAGCAGACGGCCGCGCTGGCCATGGAGGTACGAGCCGCTCCTTCCCTCTCTTAAACTGCTGGGATTTAGAGAAGGTGCCGCAGAAACCAGGGTTGCCATGGAGCTTGTTGTTGTGGAAGCTTGTGGTTTGTGGTTGGTGCTTTGATGAACTTGAATAATTTAGACTGTTGCAAGTGAAATAAGCTTTATGTCATATTTTTAAACCTGAGTGTGAGAGCTGCAGGATTATAGGTGCTATTTTTGGGGGGGGGTTTGTTCTTGTTTTTCTTTTTCATCTTAAGGGTTGTAAGGTACTGTTATTCTGACTACAGCTTGATCTGAACGTTGTCTAAATTGCGTCTGTGACGTCCAGATAAAATATCTTCAGGTTTTGAGATACAATATGCCCTTTTTCCTGACTATTCACTGGGTGGTGTTGCTCCCTTATGGACATTGTGTATGAGAACCCTAAAAGGTGATTACATAATGATTTCTAAATATTTATCCATTTGGATAGGAATCTATTTTTGTATTTACTGAATATATTGAAAACAGATTGTCATTATATTACAACCAGTGTTGGCTTGGGTAAGTTAATTTAAAAAAAAAAGTAATTAATTACTAGCTACTAAACATTAGGGGTGGGAATCTTTTACCATCTCACGATTCAATTCGATTCCGATTCTTGAGGCCACGATTCGATTCAAAATCGATTTTCGATTCAAAAAGATTTTCGATTTAAAACGATTCGATATTATCCATAATGATTTCTAATCAGGTTTCTGATCATGATCTACTCTCATCTGCTTTGCTATACAGAATGACAAATGGAGACCAGTGTTTCCTCTAGGATTTTTTCCAGCTGTGGTGTAGGGCTGTTGGAACGAATTCCGAAATTCGAATATAATTCGAATATTAAAAAAATCAATACTATTCGAATGCTGAAGTTACTATTCGAATATTGTTTTTTTATGTATATTTTAATTTTTTTATATATATAAACAGGAAAGAGGCCGCATTATGCATAAATTGTTTTATTTGCACAAACGCGTTTCAAGAAGGCACGCGCCGAAACGCGTTTGTGCAAATAAAACAATTTATGCATAGTGCAGCCTCTTTCCTGTTTAACGTTATATATTCTAATCATCAGGCCAGCATTCTTAAAGTTTAAGTTTAATCATTGAGTGAAGCCTGCTCCTATTCCCATTCATTAATTTTTTTTTATATGGAATCTTGCCTTTCTCGCCACCTTGACTTACACACATGTGAAAATGAAATGCTTTTGTTTCGTCTGATGAACAATAGGCTAACGTTTTTGAATCGTAACACAATTGTGCACGTTATCCACGCTGTATCATCATAACAATACTGTCAAAAATGGTAAATGTTTAACAACGTAAAAAAGCGCCCGTGAAGCGCAAATATCTTGGTGAAAACTCAACGGATTCGGCGAGCACCAAACTCGTTGGAACCGTCTAGTCGAACTGAAAAGAACGATATAAGTTTCAGAATTTTTGGTGGTGTTTTCGCGGAGATATTAGCCGAAAACCATCGGTAGCGCTTCAGCCATATTCAGCACGAATAAAATGTTTATTGTAATGTTAGATGTCCCTCTAGTAGACAGAACGTGTAACAACAACCACATGCTATAGTGGCATTGGCGATCCATAAGCCTGAGTAATGTCGTAAATATTAATAATAGGATGAATTTGAGCATTTATTATTCGAATATTAAATAAAATAAGGAATGGAATTCGAATAGTATTATAGAGGAAGATTGACAGCCCTACTGTGGTGGCAGGCCCATTTCGCCAGGGGGAAGGGGCGTGGCCCATGAGTGATATTCCCATTGGCCACGCCCCCTTACCCCAGGTGTTTAAACCTCCCCTAAGTATTATAACATTATAACATGAAAGGCTCGAATAAGAGCGGCAAAGCGATTATGCGCATACCGCGCGCAGAATGATGCACTTGAAGCAACGCGAAGTCACAGCACGCAGCGCTCCGGATTGAAAAGTTCAAAGCACAAAACGAAGAGATTATATCTGTCTATCTATGCTTAATGTATTATATATATGCAACAGTTTATTGAGCATTTTCTTTTAACAGTTTTAAATTTCAGTTACAGTGCGCATGAAGAACAATTCATAGCGCTCTCCAGTGCTGTAATCTAACAGACACCCGGGAGAAAGGATTATGATTTAGAAAACGCTATAACGCGACGCGCTGTGTGAATGCTGAATGGAGAATGACTGAGGAGAGATGAGTTTCTATTAACTTTAACTAACGACTTAAATATAAATTTTTACCTCACATTATGCTATTGAATGACTTTAGAAGTCTTGGAATATAGTGCGAACACTTTATGGTGCTTTACAATGTTTTTTTATGCCTTTAGCTTAACAATAACACAATAGTATACACATTAATATCGGACCTCACTGAGAAGCTGCAGCCGTGGCGGGATTATTTTAGGTGTGGCGGCCGGCCACGGCAGAATGAATGTAGAAGCATCATATTTAGAAGCATCAGAAGCTTCATAGAAGCATCCACATTTGCTTCCTCTGATTTGCCGCTCACGTTCAAAAACCGGCTGCGTGCATGACGTCCGGACGTCCCGTACAGGCTATAGTTACAAAAATGGAGGCGAATAGCCAGCTGATTTTATTTATTTATTAAATCGATTCTTGGACATTTCAGATCGATTCTGAATCGTTGCAAATGAGAATCTAGATTCTTCTGTGAATTGATTTTTTGGCACACCCCTACTAAACATCTTCAACAGTGTAATTGGATTACTGTATTGTATTAATTAGATTACTTTAGTGTAATTAGATTTCTCTCGAAAAAGTATTGCATTACATACTACTAATTACTTTCTAAATCCCATATTATCTCAACCAACCTTGACCAGTTGAACAATACAAGGATAGACACGAAACTGCTCTTTTAATTCTTCCAAATAAATAATATAAAATTGCGTAAATTATTCTTGAACTGACCAAAGTGTTTAAAGGGAGAAGGTTACATTAAAAACAGGCATTTTGTGTTTTAATCCACTCTAGAATTGTTCTATTGTCTATACAGTTTTTAATACAATTACATCAGAAGAAACTGTAATTAAATTACAGAAAACTTAAGACTAATCACTTACTTTAATTTTTTTAGGGAAACGTAATTAAATTACAAAAAAATAACAGTAATTCCTTACTTTAGCTTTTTAAGGGAAAATTAATTAATTTACAGAAAAATAAGAGTAATCCCCTACTTACTTTTTAAGTGAAAAGTAGCCTAATTACAAAAATAGAGTAATCCCTTACTTTACCTTTTTAAGTGAAAAGTAATTCAATTACAGTAATTAATTACTTAGTAATGTACACTCTAAACGATGCTGGGTTGTTTTAACCCAAATTTGGGTCAAATATGGACAAACCCAAATGTTGGGTTAAAAATGTAATTTAAAATTTTAACCCAACTTCAACTTTCACTTTCAACTGTAAATGTTTTGGGTTTGTCCATATTTGACCCAAATTTGGGTTGAAACAACCCAGCATTTTTTAGAGTGTATACACCTAACACTGAGTACAACACTCCAAATTTGTTAATGAAAAACAATTAGATTGTTTCAAACAGTTTATAGCGAAATTTAATTCTACAAACATTTTCATTTTCTCTTTTTCCCATTTGTGTGATGCAGATTGTGCTTGCTCAGGATTTCTGCCACGGCCATTTTGATGAATCATATCCATATGAAACACAATGAGATCATTTTGGCCCAGAGGTTTTTTTTGCGTAATGGATCTGTTATTCATCATGAAAGTAAACTTAAGTGCTGTTAAGTCTGTTGTCAAAGATAGTAGATATGATCCTGTTTTAATAAAAAAGCTAAATATTTACAAGTAAATAAAATATATATTTAACACAATTAATGTAATAACGTTATAGGTTAAACATTCACCGCATTTGAGAGACGTTGGATATGGTTTCATTTGACTCAAACATTTCTTCCTGCTAAATAATTAGACTTTTAGATATTGATTATATAGATATGAGAAGTAAAAATTGTTCACTCTAAATTATTTGTTTCTAAAATAGCTAATCTGTTACAGAAATATCTGTGGAATGTCAAACAGCCCAATAGTGAAACGCTTCTGTTCCGTGTCAGGAATGGCATGTTTGTAGCCATCTTACATTTTTCCCCAGTTCTAACGGCCTCATAATCTCTGCTGAGATCCATAAAGGCTGGATTGATTTGAAGCGTGGAATAATGCTCTTTCTCCCATTGTTTCAGTCAATTAAACACGGTGAAGAGCATAAGCGTCCATCTGTGCTCTGAGATCACAACAGGGCAGCCAGTGTCAGTCGCCTGCTGTAGGTCTGGGGGTCACGTGACCCGGGCGGCACTGAGGTTCAGGGTGGTTCATCTGTCAGGGGTGTACAGTTAGTATCCCCTGTGGTCCTGTATTACATCACCCCGAGATGCCCTGCTGGTGAACCAGAGCCAAAGTCCTTAAAACAAGCCTTACCCCCCTCTGTGTTTGCCCCAGTGCTGCGATGATGTAAGGTGGATGAATTGATGAATCAATGGGATATGGAATTGTGATTTGTTCCAACATTACTTTCACAACGTCAGTATATTTTTGCTAATATTATTTTCCCCCAAATTGTTTACTTCTTTACAGATTCATCCCTTTACAAATGTTATGTGATTGTGAATTTATTCAAACAAAATCGGTTCAAAAGAATGTGTTCTCCGATCGGACATGGCTGGCTGTGACTGTTGCACAAGGGCTTTATGTTTTTTTTTCTTCTTTTTTATCAGCTCTGTTAGAGATCGGATGGGATTATGTGGAAATCTGGTGTGTATATGTTAACTGAAGTTTTCTCTGTTGTGAATGAGGCCAGGCGATTAGTGCTGACCCTGATAAAAACCATAAATATAGGTTATCCATGTATTATGTGCTTATGTTGAGCTGGATTCTGTGCTTGTGAATCAAATCCAAGCAGAATGATATTATGCTTTTTACAGTTAAAGCTAAATGTTAAGT